TGATCCACGCAGAGAATGTCAATTCTAATAAAAGGTTTGTTCTCCAGAGTCTGGGTTTTTTTGCTAGTTTTTTTTTTTCGCCAAACACATTATGAAAGAGCTTTTCAAAAAATAGGTAGTAAATTTTCATTATATGCTCCCGAGTATTAAGAGAAACATGCAATAGTCCAAGGAGAGGAATAAAAGATATTATTTCTGGTTGTACTGACAAGTTTCTATTTTCATTATATAGATGCGTCAGTGCTTTACGAATAAAAAGTTGACCTGGCCAATCTGCAACAAGTGGCACCACATTGTTAGTAAGGCAATTTGTTTCTTTGTTATACCTTAAAATCATATTTAATGCATTAAGGTAATCTTGTACAGAATGAAGTTGCTGTTCCTCTATGCCTACTAAAATTGCATCTTTCATTTTTCTTTCTTCTTTTTGCTCTATAATAGCATTGTCATAGATATGTACTGTAAGTTGATCAATTCTATCAAATTCAAATAAATTTGAATTAGTCTACTGGGCTTTCCGTCGTGAATATGACAGGTCAAAATAATTTTGATACTGGTCTATAAGTTTTTTGCAAATAAGCGGAGCCTCGATATTATTTGGGTTATGGACCGATATGTCATTAAACATAATTGGTACTGAATCTGATTTGTTGACCTTTTTACATACACTTGTTGCAAGATGAGCGGCCTTCGATAAGACAATGCTATTTGGACAATGATTTTCGTGGATATTATGATAATCATCTAGATTATAAATACAAAGATGATTTTTATTATTATTAAAATATTTTTTTACCTGTATCAGATGTTCATCAGCAACTTTTTTTTTATAATTATACACGGTCTTATAGGCGGCTAAAATACTAGCATTGTTTAACACGTCAATTGTATTACATGTAGTTCCAGATCCTGCAAGATATAAGGCGAGCTCTAATTTAAAACTATTTGCATGCTTATTGCGCAATCCAGCCATCAAATATAAAATTGTAACAACTTTTTTTTTATCTTCATTTTTGTTGTAAGCTGAACGATCACATGGTATTAAAATACCACACATTTCAGCAAAAAAACCTCTTAAATCAGGATCTGCATCTTCGAGCATTTTTTCAAATTCATATGGATTAAGAACAAGGTTATTTTGTCTTTTTTTATACAAAACTGTTGTCATTTTTTTAATGCGATCGCCGAGTGATAATTTAACTAATTTACTTGGAATGGTTGTTTTTTCATGCTCAATATTTTCATTCTCAACAATGACCATATAATGAGAATGACAAACTTGTTGGCCTATTTGTAAGTATGGATATTGTTGAATAGTTTGTTTAACAATTGCTTTTCTTATTGCTAATTGAGTTAGACAACGAAAATTAGCCTGATATTTATCACAATTATAAATCGAACAAGGCCTGTTATTAATTTTTTGTCTTGGCATTTTATTTAAGAATTTAATTTCGAAAATTCAATTATGTTTAATATATTAACACATTTAATATGCATGCGACGTAATTTTTTGTAATATTATTGTAATATAGTAACACAAATTACAGAATATTTTAACATAATAATAAATGCGTAAAACTTATAATTTATTTATAAAACAATTTTTTAATCTTAAAAAAGAATTTAATAATTGTTTTTATAACTATATATACAAGCCGGGATAACAATATCGCAAGCAAATATTTGTCTCTATATGAAGCATGACTGTGTTTGTATTTTTTTTTTTAATACATATGCATATATAAAAAATTAACCGGTATGCCATTTCGCATTTAAAAAAAAAAAAAAAAAAAAAATTAATCGTATAATAAAAATTGTTAGCCAATTAAAATCATGAAAAAATAAAATGATCATCGGCCAATCAGATGGATATTCAACCATGCTTAATCAAAGCTATGCTTTATATTAAAAATTATTACGTGAATCAAATGACCAGCGACTAACAAACTGGGCTCTGACAATTGATAGAACACTTCTTTGCAAGTAAGAAATGTTATTAACTTGCCCAGTAAAGAATTTTATTTTTATGCGATCCCATACTCTCAAAACAGTTTAGTGAATACATGGCACAGTAATTGCTTACATAAAAATAACTGCGTAAAATTTAATGATAATACATTCAGTGCTAGCTGGGTACCCTTATGTCAAGAAAATCCCAGGCTAAAGATCACTTCTGACCCTATCCGGATCCAATAAAATCACAGGATCTTGTGTAACAAAACAAATGTGAAAAACATAAGAAATTGTAAAAAAACATAAATAACACAAAAATTTACTATGATAACTACCTTCCGACCTCTAAATAAAAGTTTTCAGAATAAAATTTTACTTATAGAATATAATTGTTAATGCTAGATATATAGAGAATTTTTGAGATACTACGGCCTATATTTTTTTGGCTAGCAGCTCAGGATTTTCTTGACATAAGGATACCCGTGCTAGCTAAGCTTATGTAATGGGAACGCACGATTCGTAACAGAAGTCACATGATTACAGTTTGGTACCTCCGGTATCCTTCCTGCCAAAGTCACATTCTTGATAACACTTTGAATTTGATTAATAGTAAGGCTTGAAATATCATAAATACTGAAAGTAACCTGCTTAATTTTATCTATTCCCACTCCGCCTTCCCCAAATAACATATAGATTTTTTTAGCTCGTAGGGTTCTCATATGCAAGTTTCCCAATATGATTCCGGGTAGATGCTCTAGCATTTCTTTGTATATTTGTTATCTAGCTGTTTTATCTGAAGCCCTGGTGTCATGGCGAATCTCATCAACTTTATTTTCAAAACTATTTGAATAATAGAGCCAAGATAAGATCATCTCGTGTCTAGCTCGTATTGCATTCTGGAATAAATGAACTAAGTTTTGCGTCATATCTAGAGATTATAGATGTGACACTGAAGATATAATCTGCCCTGCTTTAAGGGACTCCTATATCTGAAACTATTCTAACACATGTTAATATTAATGAATATCTGTTACATGGCAAATTATAGAAAATTATGTATCGATTCTGATTTATTTTTACTAAACATTAGTTATTTGAGAATTATCATTATTACATTCACATCATTTATATATTCTATCTGCTACTTTTTTGCATATTTTGCAATATAGATGTGAATGGTGATTGCATTTATCACTGACCTTATACTCATACTTCCATTCTCTAAATATATGCCACTTTTCGATATAATTTTAGCTTTTTTTATTTGGTAATATATTGTTCTGATCTTTCATTGTTATATTAACAGAAAAAATATAATGTGGTTAATTTTTTTAAATACAAATCTGTAATATGTGGCACCATATATCTGTACCCATCTTACAAATAAATTGATTATTAAGTTTGAATCAGTATTTTTTATAAATAACAAATATGCATAGTACAATATAAAAATATACTAATGAGTATAATATACATGTCATAGTTGCAATATGTGGTGCAATAGTCACATAATATTATAACCTGTGGAGTCACATACTACCAATTTGAAATACTAATAAATACCAACTTGAACTATTCTATGAATTAAAACCTGAAGGGTCATTGCTTCGTAATAATAATAATAATTAAATATTTAAAAAAATATTAACTATATAATTTATAACTCTGAAGTTTTGCATCCTATCTATTACTAGTTTAGCTTATGTAAGTATTTTAGATATATGGGATATGCATTCATTTTGATACTTCTTTAAGAGCTTAACGTTTAAAGCTCTTTTTTCAGCCAACTCTGGAGATATTCTATTTGATATAAAATTTTTATATACTTGTATACACCAATGACTATATGGCAAACTAGTTATTTTATCAGATAATATCTAATGCTTAGTATCTATAAGGCAAAGAGCCTTCTTTTCTGATTCGATCAAAGATAATATATGGTCTTTTGATCGGATACCTACATTTTTAGTATAGAATATTTTATTACCAAAGAGATATCTCGATATACTAGAGTCATAGGATCTGCCTCAGTTCGTATAGCTTCTTCTTCTAATAATAATGATCTATCTACTGGATTATTTAATAAGAACTCTTCTAAAACTGGTATATATATATCAGTAGCCATTTCATTTTTGCTAACTCACTTATGCTTAGACTTTGTAGACTTATCTGCCAAAATATAGTGATAAGACTTGAATCGAATATGTATAGATTCTGAAATTACACTACCTGGAGTTTCATCCTTGTAAAGACCTATAGTTTTTGAGTCATTAAGATCAAAAAGGTCAGATCACTCAGCCATATTCTTATAAATATCATCAGTTTCGACTATAAATATGAATGAGTCTGTATCCATATATCCAAGTATAGCTTTATTACATATCTCTCTTTTATATATCCATATCAGAAGCGATATATTAAAAGCTTGCTAAGTTCTAAAACTGATGCTTTGACAATTATAGGCTAGAGTTATGCTAGCTTTTCTCATATGTGCTTCTACTAAAGTATTTCCAAGTTGTCTAGCATACTTAAAGAAGAGTTTATGAATTTGATTAATAAACTTCTTTTTATCTTGCTCATTATTTATAGCTATGAGTTTGACATCTTGATATTTACGAATATTCTCTATAGTCTTGCTATATACAGAATTGTTCATAAGCTTAAAGAAGTCCTTCTCAAAAGCATTCTTAGCATCTTGTTGCTTTTCTGTATTGAAGGCTATATAAGGAGCAAGCCAATTAGTCTGATTGAAAAATAGGATTTCTATAACCTTATCAATAATCATACCTAATTTTATATAGTATTGAAGTTCTTGATAATAGATAACATAATTCTTTCATGGTCCAAGATGGGTTATTAATTTTTCTGTTGCTGAAAATCAACTACCATCCAAGTTATCTACAAGCTCTGTAGTATGGGAACACAACATATCTTTTCTTACAGCCATATTCTCTACAGCTGGGGTAAATCACTCAAATAGTTATGAGTTTTTAAAGGAAAATATACATTAATCTTTAAAAAATATTCTCTTTTTATATCTGCTTTGGTATTAAGAATCTTTTCAAGATATTTCTTTTACTTATTTGGATGATTCTCAAGATATTGCCAACTTGCTTCCTATTGATAATTTCTAATAGGCAAATACTAACTCATAGTCTAGCCATAAAGATTATTTGTATCAACATAGTATATCCATTTTGTAGATTTAGATGGATTGAATGCCTTGTCTATTTTTGGATTATTAGCTTTGAAATAGTGTTTACAAGCTATAGATATTCCTCCACGCTTAGCTTCTTCAATAAAATTATGTATTAACATATCTGTAAATAGCCCAATCTCAACCTCTGTCTTCTTAAACATAGCATCCTATGATAGTGCCAGTGCTAAAATGTAATGACTAGGATCAAGTTTATAATATTGCATGCATATCTTTCGAAATTGGGTCCAAATATCTGCAAGACTAAGTACATCGGTTTTAAGATAGAGATCATGATACTCATCTTGATTCTTGCAACCAAAAGTTTTTCATACTTTTTGGGCATGCTCATAATCTTTTTGACTAATTTTGCCATAAAGATATGTACTAAATTCATGAATTGGCGAAAGCTCAATCTCTAAAAATCTATCTTGTGAATCAATATACTTATAAAGATTAACTCCTTTACGACTTGCTAGTAAAATTTAATCTTGAGAATAGTCTTTAAAGTACTGGCTTGTAATAGGGTAGTTGGTACCCAAATTTTTCGTAAGATTTGTTAAGCTATTATTCATGAACAGCATACTATCTATATATTTTAGCTGATCTACTTTCATAGTCTTGTATCTTTCAAATATCTTAGCTACAACCTTAATCTGATATGCATTAACTGATTTTCCAACAGATTTATATACTAAGTGAGAATCATAGCCTTGAAAATTATGAAAGACAACTGGAATAGAGGTCTTCCAAGATTTAATTTGAAGCTTAAGATTATATACATTGTGGGTGGCTTCTCGAAACTTACCTGTAATATAGCAGTGATCTCAAACTTTTATGTCCATAGACTTTGCTTGATTAATATCCTTAGTTATCTTGAAAATTTGGTTTGTTAAAGTTTTATAATCTTCTGAATTCATTGTGGTATTTTCTAGCTTATTATTAAGCCATGATGCTCTATTTTCTAAGCTTTTGACTTCATCTCTATTTATAGCAAATTTATCTTTACAAATCCAACAGATATCTGCTTTATTAAATTTTTTCTTATCCTTCTCAGTCTCAATTCGATTATGTTTTATAGCTAAGACTCTATTAATTTCGACCAACTCCTTATCAATTCTTTTGACAAACTTCTGAGTAGCATTTTCTTCTCTATATAGGTATGGACCCCATATATCTCCAGTATTGATCCAGTGAACTAAATAACAAAAGCTATTAGCTTTTTCCTCTGCAATCTTACGCATTTTTCTACCATATTCTGATACTGGTTTCATTATACCTCCAGAATAATCCTATTTCTTGTTATCTGATTCAAAGTCTGCTATAATAACACATGGTACATTGATCATTCGCCTATAATTTTTAAACTTCTCAAAATCATTAACTCCCTTAGTAGGCAAATCGACTCTTTGAGTAGTCTCTTTCAAACCAAAACAATGCTCTTAATGATAGGCTAAAGATTTTTCTGATGGAAAACTATAAAAGCACCGATTACAAAGATGCTTTTTGCTATAATGTTGTGTATCTTTGAATACTAATTTATCTGGGTTTTTGATCCAAAGAAAATGGTTCTTTTGCCTATACTTATCGTCTTTAGATTTGGTAATATCTGTAAGAGCCATGAGATATATAATATGTTGTCTATTATAATTTTTGCTAGCTATTATTGGCTTAAGAGTAGCTGATTCTTCTTTCTATTCCCAGATATTAATAAAGATATCAGGATTCATCTCTTCTATCTTATTAAATATATGTGAGCAGATTGGAGTAGGCATTGGGATTCTATCTAGCTTGACTATATTTAAATATTGCTTATAATCCTTTTTAGTAAATATTCGTTCAAGATGCTTTGTATACCCATTTTTATTAGCAAAATAACAAGCTAATGCTCCTTGAATCGATTATTTTTGAATTATCAGGATTGATTGTAGATTTGGTATTGGCAAGCTTTTTTGAAGTCAAGATATATAATCCACCAACAGCTCTTCACAAAATATAAGCTTCAATAGTTAATATTTCAATTCTTACCAAATTTCATCCTGATCCTGATTTCATAAATATGTCTATTTTATTATCTATTTCTGATATAGATAAATTTATATGCTTATTGATATCTTCTTCTATAAGAATAACACGCATGAGGCTTCTATGATGACCAATCATATATGTTGAAATTTTAGTGCTGCTTTTTTGCTTGCTAATATGCTCGCATTGTGCAACTAATACAGTTTTTATTTGATCTTTTTTATGTAGTTTGACTTTAAGTACCCTTGTAATTTGTTCTCTAGCGTTTGCTATAAGTTGAGACATATAGGGTGCTTCTAAATATTTATTACTATTCTCAATATAGTGATTGAAACTATATTTTATATTATCAGGAGATAGAATATTTGCTTGCCATAAACTTATTGATATTATATTCTGATAGGGTCTTAAAGAATCAAAATTAGATTCGTATTCTTCGAATATTAACTCTTTGTTCATTAATTTATAATTTTTTCTTACTAGATTACTATCAAAATTGTCTTCTACAGTTATGATATTTTTTTTGGATAGTCATAGAACAAGGATCTAGCTAATTCAGACCATTTTTCATCAGTGCTTGCATTATATCTATCTTCTATATTATCAAACCATTTTATATCATTTTGGGGTAGATTTAAAGAAACTTTGTCTGAAAATATATTTTGAATAGGTGATAAGAGTGCATTGTCTAATTGGATTAAATCACCTACTGGAACATAGGTTTGAGTTGAAAGAGGTGATATTTCGATATTGGGTTTCTGCGAAGTAGAAGAGTCAAAGACTTCTATTTGATTTTGTAGTAATGGTATTGGATCTGTAACAAGATTTTGGATATTAAGTTTATATAAATTTTTTTGATTTAGATATATACGAAGTTTTGCTAATTTAGAAAAATCTTTTTCACATCTATTACATGTATGTACTACTATAATAAAATAATAGTATGAATTTGTATATGGGTGCTAGTACGAAATTCTTTATCTGTTATTTATAAAATATTTTTATTCAATTTGAAAATTAATATGTAGTAGACATATATAAAAAATGCAATTAGGTGAATATATATATGATTTTCTTTTATATACTGGTAAAATATATGGTCAATCATGTATGAAACCTGAAGAATGTTGGTTTCATAAAAATGCAATCAAACACTTTCTTTGTACTGATTGTGGTAAACCTACTCGTTCTAAAAGTAAACAATGTCTAAATCATATTAAAAGCTATTATGTTGGTAAACATTATTAAAAGTATTATAAAAGGAAAATAGATATTTAATTTTTGGTACCTTGTTTTAAATATAGGTGAATAGTATATGATATTAGGTATGTTGATGCGATTATTTTTTTGTCATTATCTAATTTGATTATAAAATATAAAAATAGAAAGTTCTAACTATAAAATTTTTGGTACTCAGATTTTTATATAGAAAGTAAAGAGTTTTTATAGAATATAAGCTTCTTAAGCAAACAAAAAAGCAAAATGAATACTTTAGTACTCAGGGTACTAAAAAAGTGTCTTAGAAATCTTATTTTTGCCCTACTAATAGTACTATTTTAACTATTTTTAGTATTATTATTGTATAATAATGATTTAAATAGTAGTACATAACATTATTATAGTGATTTACATTATTATACAATAGTTTGTAGTATTATAGCTTTATTTTATAGTATTATTTTATAACGTTATCTTATAGCATTATAGTAAATAGCATTATTACATAGCATTATTGAAAGATATTTAAATCCTGCTTTTTTTTCCAAGGCAAGAGGATATTAATATATGCTCCATACCTGTTCTCTTGATATTTATATCATTTCTTGTGTATATTTGACCCTTTCTTTGATTATTTTTTTTAAATAATAAAGCCTTATTTTGTTGTAATAAACTGTAATTCTATAATGTATTTATAGTGGGTTTATTGTATTTTTATTGA